ACTAATGTAAGCCCACATGGGGTTCTTCATCCTAATAAGAAAACTCTGGCAAATATATAATTGCATACAGAGCATAACAAACCTCCATGTGAGACATTGGGTCCACGTTTGCTCGTGTCTGTTTCTTCACAACCATGTAATAAGTTACTTTGGCATGTATGAGTAGCTATCATGAATAGAAATTTCAAAAGTTAATTGGAGACGAGAAAAGTTGGTCGAGAGAAGGGATAAAGGACAGGCGGCAAGCTTTCAATACTTTCTGCCTATTCGATCTTAATACTAATTACATTTTTGTAAACATTGCAGAGGCGCCTTATTTGGTCACCCTATTTAACATATACTCATTTTTTTTAAAAGTTATAACTTGTACCTACTTTTTAAACAACTCCGGGCTCTTTCTCCTCCTCCTTCATTTTCTTCTTCTTCTCCTTCTTCTTTTTCTTCTTCTTCTTCTTCGGATGACAATGATTTTACATGGTGGTTGTGAATATATTTTATGATGTTTTACAATGGTGAGTTGTTATGACGCTTTATTTTCTACTATTGCTTAAGGTTTCTTCTACTTCTTTTTCTTAATTGCAAAATGGGTTCATTAGATTTATTGTTGCTTTGACAAATTGATGATTGGAGTTTGTTCCTAATGATATTTGGAGGTTATGTTTTAAAGTTGAGCTCATTTGGAGTAGATTTAGGTATGAAATTGTATATTGGATTGTTATAATTCGAAGAACAAATTTCTGTTTTTGAGCAATTTGCACTCCAGGCCTATTTGGCCTTAAATGCATGAAGACGCTAGTTGCACTTCAGACCTTTTGGCCTTAAGTGCATCTGAAGTGCAATTGTTCACTTCAGACGTATTAGCCTTAAGTGCAGCAAAACGTGTGTTGCATTTCAGACTTTTTGGCTTTAAGTGCATCTGAAGTGCAAATTTTCACTTCAGACTTATTGGCCTTAAATGAATGAAAATATTTGTTGCACTTCAGACTTTTTGGCCTTAAGTACATTTGAAGTGCAAATTTTCACTTCAGACTTATTGGCCTTAAATGAATGAAAATATTTGTTGCACTTCAGACTTTTTGGCCTTAAGTACATTTGAAGTGCAAATTTTCACTTCAGACTTATTAACCTTAAGTGCATGAAACCATTGGTTGCACTTCAGACCTATTTGGTCTTAAGTGCATTTGAAGTGCGATTTTTTCACTTCAGACTAATTTTTTTTTAACTTCAGACTCGATAAATCTGAATTTGATCGTAAAGTGGGTACGCTTGCAAACTTTTTTGCAAAATGGGTATAGGTTAAATTGTGACCCCAAAACCAGATATAGATGCAAAAGCCCCTATATTTTTCACCTTTTTATTAAACCATAAGGAACCTCGAGTAATTTACTAGACAAATTCAATTGTCGTTACGATACCTTTCAACAACAGAAAAGACTTATCTTCCTGAAGACACTTTGAAGAGAAGAAAAATAGCAGCTAGTGCACGAAGCATCCTGCATTCACGCAAGGTCCGAGGAAAGACCGCACCTCAATAAGATATAATGTAGACAGTCTACCCTAATGCAAACATGTGACGGATAGATTTAGCAGTAGACACCCCAAGAGATCTTCACAAGGTAGGCTAATAAAAAGGAGAAAATCTCACTTTATACCCATTAAATTCAAACTATTTACCCTTAAATACCCATACCTAAACTATTTACTTTTCCTACCTATGCAATCAATACTATTTACCCGCCCAGATGGTTTAATAATTGTAACTGTGAGCTGAATCAGGAGTAAAGCTTATTGCTAAAAGAAACTCCAATCCAACTTCAACAATGAAATTCGCTGTTTCAAATAATAATGAGTCTCCAATTTTAAAGATTCTTTTTTCACGCAAAACTTAGTTTAAAAGACGAGTTAGGTTCTTCTATTTTTTGTTCTCCCTTTTGGTTCTTTTTTTTCAATTAGATAATTTGTTCNGTTCTTTTTTTCAATTAGTTAATTTGTTCCTGACAAAGTAAAATTTATATATTTATAAAGAGAAAATTGGCATGCAGCCAAACTTGAGGCATTCGTATAAATAGGCATTCGGTGTGTTCACAAGGTTAAAATCGAGCACATTGAACTTCTTTAGTATCTTTTTTCTATAGCTTTCTTAAGAGATAAAAGTTACATATTTTTGGAGATTTATTGTACAAAAATTTAAATCCATTATTGACAGATCTTGAAGCTTGAAACTCATAACTTGGTTTGTTTGAATTTTTAATTGTTTTGATCCGATCCTGTATGGGTTAGTTTGGAAAGTTGATTGGAGGTTGTAGCTAAAGTTTTAGTCAATTTGGTGGAGATTTTGTAGTAAATTTTAGAAATTTGGGTTGAAATATAGTTGAACCAGAGAAGAAGACGAATTTGTATTGTATACCCAAATAGTATACAAATATACCATTTTAGTATACAATTCATTCCAACTATATACCATATTAGTATAGCTATATAGTATATTGGTATCATATGCTAGTTGAATTATTTTTTGGTTGTATTAGCTGCATTTAATTGGTACAATATTTGATTTTCTTTTAATAATAGTAATATAGTACAATATCTTGAAATACCTTATTATATTAATATGTGGTACACTAGTTTTTTATTTTTCTCTTTATGCATGTGTGTTATGTAATAGTAGTATAGTCATATAGTTGTCGGGAATTAACTAGTAAAACTGTATACCATGTTCGCATAGTTATATGCCATATTGGTATCATATGGTAGTTTGAACATTGTTTTGGTTGTTTTAGCTGAATTTTAAGTGAATTCTATTATGAAATTATTTATATCAACATGAGTTGCAATAATGCTGGAATTTTTAAGCGTTGGTGGACATAAATTATGTGTATTAATAGTTTTTATAGTTATAAGCAATCGTTGGAATGACCCCATACAACTATATACCCTCTTAGTATCCGAAATGAGCAAGTTGTTTTGTGAATATTTAGCTTGTAATACGAGCATGTAATTTTCTCATACTTTTATTGTGTCCTTTAATGTTTTGGTAGAGTAATATAGTCGCAGATAGTTGTAGCAATATTCTAGAGAATTCATATGCTCTGTTGGTATACATATATACCATATTGGTATCACATGGTACTAGAAGTCTTTTTCGCTACTTACACTTTTGTTGTATTTTTTAGTATTTTATTATCATTTTTATTCTAACTAGTATATATGGAGATTCGGTTGCCGTAGATTATGTTTTCTTGCTCTATAACTGGTTGTATTACTGCTAATGGTAGAGTGTGTATTGATATTTATAGGGAAGGAGATCAAGGTTTGCATGACAATCACGTGTTGATTCTTAGAATCTGATTATGTAATTTATGGTGCTCAAAAACAGTATTCAGTGTACTAGATCAAGTGACAACTGATATTATTTCAGTTTAATAATTGAATTTAAAAAATGAGAAAGAAAAAAAAGGTATATTGTACTAGTTATATTAAAAAAGGTGAACAAATATTTACTATATCAATTATTTTTCTTATTGTATAAAAAAAGTATAATAAAAAATAATGAAAAGGTAAATGAAATTAGATTATGAAGAGAAAAAGAATATAAAAAAAACAAGAAGTTAAATGAAATTAGAAAAGGAAAAAAGAAAAAAAAATAAGAAGAAAACGAGAAAAAAGAAAAGCAGAAAAGAAAAAAAAAGAAAAAAGGAAGAAAAGAAGCATAGAAATAAAAAAGAAATAGAGAATAAAGAAAAAATTCCCCACAAAACTACTATGGATAGGAAATATAATTAGTTTATGGGTAGAAAAATAAATGGATAGATAAGGGTAAATAGTTTTGTTTTTGTGGGTAGCTGTGTCAACCCCAATAAAAAGAGCTGCAGGCGATAAAGAAAGACGCAAGATTCCGTGGCTCTATTCTTTTTTGATCGTAACACCTTAATAACTTACAAAGAGAATCAGCCAGCCAATACCAATCATGAGACCAACAAGCCAAAAATAGAATTATAGAAAGAAGGTATCAAACACCAATTGGGTTGTATCGATTTGTCATTCAAGTGAACAGTTTTTATGGCTAATCTTCTTGCCAAAGAAATCTGGCAAACGAAGTGAGAAAATTGTCAAGAACATTTTTGTTGATGAAATAGGACTAACAAAATTCATCGAATACGTTTATCTCCATCTAACATTCATACAACAGGTTGATTAGAGCACAATTCAATCGCCAAAAAATTACTATTCAAGTTGCAGTTTTACACGTTCAAAATTCCGCTCATGGTTAATCCTAGTCATTTAGGCATATTGATCATGTTAATCCAAGTACTCTTTTTTCAACTTTTACTTCAAATACTTTTTTTTAACTTTTACCAAAAAAAATTCCGAACACCTACGATTTGCACGCTATTTGGAGTAGATATACTCATGGGCGTCTTAAAAGAAATTGTAGGCCATACAAAAAAGGACAGAAATGGTGGTGACCAGAACCCGTTGGTTGTAATTGTTCACCATTAGTAGGCCTCACTACGTAATAGCCCGACAATACTTTTATTCAGCAAATATTCTGTAGAACCCAAAACAGATAGCACAGCAGTTATGATAAAGATTTCTTTCGACTAACCTTTCACATTAACTATAACAGTATATGACCACCAATGGGTGTGTGACTTTGTGTAAGATACATGAGATTCATCCACCCTTAATCACAGGTATCGGGCTTGAGTACTCGAAATGGAAAAACTCCTGATATGAAGCACTTCAACTTTAATGGGCCCTATAAAATGCGAATCTGCAATAGTCGGACCAGCAGGTTCCAAATACCATATGGTTATTCCCCAACAACCCCCCAGATCCCACAAGTGGGGTCTTGGGAGGGTAGTGTGTATGCAGACCTTACCCTACTTCGGAGGAGTAGAGAAGCTGTTTCCGATAGACCCTCGACACAATAAGATTGAAAACGAGACAGTGTAGCAGTAACAGCAAAGGAATCCAAAAAGATAACACCAACAACGCAATAACCAGAAAATAGAGAGAAAAGTAATAATAAACAACAACGGCGCAGTACTACATACACAATGGAATAATATGGACACAACAAGAGCCACTAACATCCTAAGACAAAACACTTCTAGACTAGCTTCCTACAACCTAACCTACAACCCTAAAGAAGTACAGTGACAAAAACGTTTTTCTAGAACTGTTTTCCATGACAATTTTATTAGTAGGGAGAAAGGTTCTTCACCTTTATCACTTTGCATCGTTCCACTCCATCAGAAATTGATGCTTTCTGACTGCTACGGCTTTCTAGCAAGTAAAATATCCAAGTGAAATGTCCTGATATTACATTAATTCAAGAAGACGTCTGCACATTTGACTCCTACATCACTGTGCTGCTATCCACTTCCTCACGTTGATAAAAAAAATTCAATAGAGTTTTCTCATTTCAGTGATAATTCAAAACCCACCCAACTTACTCCACAGGTTAGTAATGGTTATATAGTTGTCCATAAATAATGGCCCTCGGACACTGAGTTTTATCCTGCAATTCAGTGATGGTTGATCAACCATCAGTAATAAGAAAACAATGTTGAAAAGAACCTCCACTTCCAACCAAGAGGTTGTGAGTTCGAGTCATCCCAAGAGCAAGGTGGGGGAGTTCTTGGAGGGAAGGATGCGAGGGTCTATTTGGAAACAGCCTCTCTACCTCAGGGTAGGGGTAAGGTCTGCGTACACACTATCCTCCCCAGACTCCACTAGTGAGATTATACTGGGTTGTTGTTGAAAAAGCAAATCAGATCAGATCAGTTAAGTTTGGTGAGTTAAATATAAAGAAAATGTTTTCCGTGACAAATGTTCTATAAGATTTTCCAGAAGAAAAGTGGTTGTCCCACTTTCTAGAATTTGGTTGGCAAGTTGAAATCCAGAAAATATTAATTAAAGATGGATGATAATGTCAGTAAATTGAATACTGTCTTGATGAAATTTTTGAGTATAAAGATTGATAATTACGTCTAACTGTTGGTTGGACCAAATGATATGGAGTAAGATTTAAATGTTTGAAAAGAAAATGAAAAGGGAGGGAGTATGCTTTCCCCCTTTTGATAGAAAATTTTCTTGTAACCAAATACTAAAAAATGATTTCCTCGTAAAAAATATTTTCCATGAAATTCTTCTCACTCATACCAAATATGCATGTACAATTTCATTGTTTTAGAATTTAGACCAAACACATCAATTAGCGTTTCAAAAGCACGTATAATTTCAATGTTTTAAAATTTAGACCAGACAATAAGCGCTTCAAAATATAAATAGACCATATCAATTTTTTATTTTTTTTTTAGTTTCTCACCCGGTATCCGGTACCCGCATTGGAGCCCGACTATTGGCATGGATAGTATCCCAATTAGTTAAATTCTATCTCAAATTGCTCAAGTTGTGGATAGCTGCAATATGCTATTTTAATAACAAAAATGTGAGAAAGGAAAGAAAAGGTTGGAGGAAGTTCAAGCAAAACATAACAGCTATAGGTACTTAAACAATAGAAAGTTACGGATATCTAAGACTTGCATCTTCTTATGCATAAAAACCTATAGGATTCCGGGGTAGCTAATACATTCTTCTGATGTTATCGATATGAAACATGATAAGATACTAAATGAAGTTTGCCTATTTCATGAGCTAAACCATGAACCATGTGAAGATTTCACAAATCAGCTGAATCATTATGGTATGATAAATAATTCGATGGCGTAAATAATGGACTAGTTAACTCAAACAGGAGAAGAAAATAAAGGGAGACTAGCACAAGGCGTAAGAGGAATCATATCAAGTAAAATTAGCCGACATAAAATTAGAAACAAAGGTGTTTCAGCTAATACATTTGTATAGCAACTGAAAATATTGGAATTCTCTCTGGAGGAAGGTGATATGAATCATATTGGTAGGAGAAATCTTTCAATGACACAACAGTATAAAGTAATTCACTAAAAGAGGACAAGTAATTAAGAGAGACTAGGCCCAGAAATACTGAAGAGGAAGTGTTGCTCATCAAACTAGGAAAAATGCCAAGTTAGGGGAACTTGTCAACCTAATACTACAAACACAGCATACCTCCTAAACATCTTTGTACAGCAACTGAAACTTCGGTATTCTGTCTGGGGGAAGGGGACAAGTCACTATGAGCTTGCCTTTCATGGCCCCTCTAAATATTGCCTGCTTTCAAGTAGGAATGCCAAGCTATTAGAAATGACTCCACAACCATGACTTGTGAAAAAAAGAAAAATAACCAGAGCAGAGCATCTGCTCAGCAGATTCAGAGAAATAGACTAAGAACTTTAAAGTGCGTGTTCCTGAATAAAGAACACAATCTTATGAACCTCGTAAACGCAGACTGAAGTAACAATCAGGAGTTCCATCAATAGTGAACTAATTGAAAAGGTCAACACTCTCAAACCAAATCTATCTGAAGCTAAAATTGTTCCCCAATGATTTAAGTTGATACACGAAATAGTTGCTAGACTCCCAAGAAACGCTGCAAATTAGCAGATCTCCCTTCAAGATCTATGCAAATTAGAAATCTTCACACCATGGAGACGCAGTTAGATTCAACCAATCTTTCTTTTTTTACCGAGAAATCCATCTGGGGACAACCCTTAGGACCAAATGCCGCCTTCATAACTCGGGGATACTGGGGCCGCCCCTCTACCCTTCTCAACTTAGGTATTAGTCTTAGGTTGCATGGCGCAAGGGCTCGAACTTGTGACCTAAGTCACAAGTCCCTCAACCTTTGCCACTTGAACTAAGCAGTGGGGGTGCTAGATTCAACCAATCTTGATTCTTGCCCAGCTATATTCGACAACTGATGCCTCAAAAGTCAAAACTCAAAAGGAGGTAAAGATCTATTCATAATAACCAACTTACAATAAAAGGACTAGAAAGAAATCCAAGAATCTCAAAATTTGAGAGTGACAATATGAGCGGATCAAGAAAAAATAATATGCTCCAGAAAGAAAGATCTCCCTCCAAGAATCCAAGAATCCAGAAAGAAAATTGCAAGATTATCCCATACCTCTACTACATCAATGAAGTCTTGTTTTCTCTGAAATGCTCCAACCCATTTGGTGTGATCTGCACTCCTGGAGAACATGCATCTCAGAGAAGTATGAGCTTCAATCTTGACAAAGATCCATATTTAAAATAATAAGGGGAAAAAAGTAACCACATCAAGCGTCCTCCAACATATCTTAGAAATTGTTGTAGTGTACTTGTCGAATTTACTATATAAACTAGTCTTGCAGTATGATTAAACAATAAACAGACTGAGAAATAAACCTTTGTTTTTTTTAAATTAGACCGAGAGAAAATTTTTGGCATTATCGCGTATAACGTTTGGTAGAGGAAGAAAAAGAGAACCAAGTAGTGTAAACATGCCTTGAACATGCTACAATATCAGACATCCTCTACCAAGGGAGGATGCAAGTAGGAAGATGTGGCAACTAGATGGTTATCTGCAAATACTTGAGCAATAGAATAAATCATTCTTTTTCTTCTCTTTGTTTTAACTTTTAAGTGGCCTCTCCTGCTCTTTCTTTTTCCTAAAATTATGTTAAACATTCTCAATTATCTCTTCTCCCTTCTATTCAACAGAAAACAGAACAGAAATATGTCATTTTATTTTCCCCTGATTGAAGGACCCAAGAACTAGTTATCCGATTAATATGGACAACTTCCAGAATTTTGAATTGGTTTAATTTGCCAACAAAATATGTCTGGTATATGGTCAAGAGCATCAATTACAGTCTTATAAGGACTAAAGATATGCTGTGCTCCCAAAGCTCCATTGCGATGCAAGGGGGTAAGAGCCCGGATAACTCTTTCTTCAACTAAATTGAATTACATATACAACATAAAGAACATGTCTATAGCAGAAAAATTGAGCAAAGAGAAGGCATACCCAGAATCCATCTTCATATGATGGGCATTGAAGAAGAAAATGGTTGATGGTGTTAAGGTTATATCAAAATACTTGACATAAACTTGAACGTCCTCTGAATCAATATCAACTAAAGCCACAACCGCAAACTTGGACACTTCTCTCACAGATTTATACAGCTGCAGTCAACAAGATGTAATTAAGTAAACAAACCACTCAAAAAAGATAGAAAAAACTTATTCAGTGTTAAATTAACAGTAACAAGGCATAATTTTTAAACCATTCAAGTGTCCAATGCAACTCGTCAACGGGGCAAATCCACCAATTCCACAGCTATCAATAGCTTTCAACTAGAACTACATAAATATTAGTTGTGATTTCGAAAATATACACCCTTTGTCTCAATCTGTTCAGAACTATTACAACGTGTGGAGCCAAACAACTTTTTCTTTTCTTGCTACAATTTTTCAATCATCTTTTATAAACCTTTTAACTATAAAAATTTGTAAAGTGTAATCAAAGGCGAAGATAGCCTATAGTCAACGAATTCAACTGAACCCACCATTTTCAACACTGTATATAGATATATAAATACAAAATACCACTAAAATTTCAACAAATATTAAATTCTGAATACATAGTTCTAGAAGTTTAATGAGTACAGTGCTAAGAACCCTTAAGAGTTGGACAGAATAAATTCAAATCCAAGATCCACCTCTGTTGGTAGTACCAGATATTTACTGACCTGATCCTTAGCATATATAATTATACTAAGTTACACTCGTGGTCATAAATCAAAAACAAAAGAGTATATTGAGGTGGTAACTTTTGCCCTAATGGCTTCAAATCCTCAATTGGCCTCTGCTGGCCATATATTTAGTTCTCTGGGAAAAAATGAAGTATTTTTTCGATGAAAAATCAAAGGAACCAGAGCAAATAGATTAGGACGGAAGACGTACGATATCGTCAAGCTGGAGAGAAAGAGGATCAGAAGATCGGCCGAAACGGAGGACAAGAACTTTGTCGATTGTGTCTCTAATTATGGAATCCACTTCTTGCTTCTTTGTTAGCGTCCTCAATATGTAGTCCATCTTCCCTCTCCCCTTTTTTCTTCTGCTTCAAAATACGGCTAAACTGTAACGGAAAGACTTTATTAGCCTACTAGCCCAACGTGAACAATGTTTTGCTTTTCTGTTATACATTATGCTGACATTAAGTAAATAGTTGGAGCAGAGCTATGGTCAGACGTTTTTGAGTTTCAACGAAAACATGGATGCATGCACAAAAGGGTCTATATGTATTTACAAGAATATACAAAGAGTTTTCGTAGTAATTTACACAAAATGCGAAAGATTACAACTGCTGCAGGTTATGAAAAAGCATTGAGGCCATCTTTGTGCACTTAAAATCTGATAAAATATCTGTATGAACAACAAATTGAGAGTTAGTATAACAGAGCAATTGAAAATATGCAATTTGCACTAAGAGCGGTAAAGAGGTTGAACATACATTTTATTTTCAATTGTTCCAAATGAAGAGGTACTATTAGTGCTTCTTTCTTTACTGTGAAAATATTTAAAGTGTTCAGAGAAGTTTAACTGTTTCAATTTTTCAGATATTGTTGTTCATTTTTCACCCAACAAAACTTTTATCATATGTGAGCTTATTGTTTGGGTTTGAGGTTGTAAATGGATTTTGAACAGTTTGTCCAACAGGTACCAGCTGTTTCTGCGGCAAAAAGTTTAGACCACACTGAATAAATAAAATGAAGATTGGAACTTTAACTTTTTGTGAAAAGATGAATTCCCTATGTTTTAACAAATAAAAGTAGTCCAGCTGCTAGCTGCTAGCTGCTAGCAAAGAACAGAAAGGGTGAAAAAAAGAGTTCATAGTCACACACAAACAAGAGACAATTTTCAATTATGTAAAATTAAAGAAACCAAGGGAAAGAATTTATCTCCCAGACTATTGACCTCAATGTCTTTGGTGAAAGAAGAGAAGGAAGTTTCAGTATATATTATACATGTCCATTGTCTCTCTTCACGTTAAAAGGACTGGGATATTTGGTCCATCTCTTTCTTTGATCTGATTGTTCTAGTGTCATTTTAACCTTTGGCCGATATGAACACTAACATAGTACGATTAAAGCAGGTATTCTTACTGTCCATATGCACCTACGCCTGATACAATACTACTTTGCCATTATTTATAAAATATGGAGCATCTGCATCCTTTAAGAATAAAGCTTACAGACACAAAGGTAAATAACAAATTGACAAAGAATATGTGGGAAGGCCGATGAAGTTCAAATTTTACAGTCAGTTCGCAGATGTAATAAATTGTATAAGATTTTTTAAATTATTATTCTATATCCAAATTTCAGAATTTTCTAATTTCAGTAACTGTTAGACTATTTATATTCCTTTCTGTCCCCTTTTAACCAACTTCATTATTATTTGAGCAAAGTTATGAATGAGTCTGCTTCAAGTTGCAGTTTCCTTTCAATAATCTATAAACATATATGTGCTTGTGAAATTAACATTAATTCACATCTTCCTCTGCTTCAGAACTGATATGTACATTGAAGTTTCCCTCATTCTATATGTTGCTTATATTATGCCATTCAACATCGTTTATCTATTTCTTATCAGATTGAACACTAAATAGAATTGATTGAACGATATGATATCAATCTGTGGGCATCTCCCCCATCCTCACATCTAAGGCACGGAAATATGAAATTCGACATAAATTTTTTAAATAAATTCATGTTTTTTGTGTAACCCATGAGAGGAAAAAAAAAAACAAAGAAGGTCAGTGAAATTAAAAGGCACATCTGTTGGATTACACAGCTATCCCAAATTGTGAAACATCATAGTTGAAACTTATTTTTCTCAGTCAAAATCAAATTAACACAGTCCACAAACGTCAAATCGATTCATACTGCACTTTAAAAGAGTTGAAAAGGATGAAAAGTAGGATTAAATCCTGAAAAACGCGAAATGAAGCGCACAAAAAATAGAGGCGCAACAATATATCCTCAATTAGGTTAGAATTTTAAGCGAAAGCAAGCTAAATATGTCATGAAAGATTCAAAACATCTTAAGAATACCATCTTAACTTAAATAACATTTATAATCAGAAAAGGTTGGATAAACAGATCGATGGAAAAAAAGAAGTAAGACCTCACCTAATAATTGTAGAGGCAACATCAGCGAGAGAGAAGAATAAAACTGAAGAAAGTATCAAAATCTGGACAAAGAACACTTTAGAGGAAGGCGTTCGTGGATATGAATACCTAAAAGAACCCAACAATTTTGCTTTTAGTTCCTAAACGTGTCAAATGCCCATCAAATTTACCAAAATACCCATGAAAGACCCCAAGTTCCTCTCCTTAGCGGCTTCTATAATAGTACTCCCTCCGTTCCAGTTTAAGTGAACCTATTTCCTTTTTGGTTCGTTCCAAAAAGAATGACCCCTTTCTAAATTTGAAAACAATTTAACTTAAACTTACAATTCCACCCTTAATGAGAATTTTTTATAACCACACAAATACTCTGGACCCCTTTCTGACTTGTTTAGGACCACAAATTCTAAAAGTTTCATTTTTTCTTAATCTCCGTGCCCAATCAAAAAGGTTCACATAAATTGGAACAGAGGGAGTAGTAATTTGGCCAAGCTTCTTTTTTTTTTTTTTTTTTTTTTTNCCTTAACTTAAATGTCTGTCCCCACTGTGCTTTAGCCCATCTTATTTATTGCTTTTCTTTTTCTTGATTCTTTTAGTGGAGGAAGGCGCCTCAGAAGGGAAAAAACAGAAAAGGGGAAATATAACTCTAGTATGTTTGGCCAAGCTTTTTATTTGGCAAAAAGTGCTTCTTCTTCTTTTTTTTTTTTTTTTTTTTTTTTGCCAAAAAAGGCTTTTTTCCAAAGTTAAAGGTGTTTGGCCAAAACTTTAAAATGGAAAAAAATGCTTTTTAAGGAGAAGCTGAAGCTGAAAAACATACATTTCCCTCAATTGTACTTTTTAGAAAAACACTTTTGAAAAAATGCATTTAAGAATACTTTTTAAAAGCTTGGTCAAACACTAATTGTTGCTCAAAAGTGCTTTCAAATTGATTAGCCAAACACACTTCTCATCAAAAGTGAAAAATACTTTTTAAAATAAGTTGATATTAGAAATTTGATCAAACAGGGTATACATTATATACATTAGAAATTTTGACAAAAATATATAATTTTGGCTTGAAAATTCCAGTAGAATGTAGCTGTTGCCAAAAGTATGTAAATCACAGCTCCGAAAGTAAAACTGAGGTAACAGGAAGTTAATGACACGCCGTTTACAGTTTGTTTATGAAAAAATCATTTAATAATGGGACTCTAAATGCACTTTATAACAGTGAGCCCGCACGCAAAATGCAATTTTCTGGAACATCTAATGGTTTAAAGCTGTAAAGAGGAAGAAACACTGTGATTATATCATGTCTGCATCTAGTACTAAGAAATACTTAGGTTTTGCACAAGTATTTATGTCCTAATGAAGCCAGAAAATCAACGAAAATGCAAATATAATAAAGGCTTGAAATTAGGATAAGTCCAGTGCCATACCTGTTCCCAGTTGGGGAGTTTTCGATGATACCGCAAAGCCTGGGATGAAGTTGAATGTTTATATAATCTCGGATAAAAAGAGCAATGCGAAGCCGCCGGTAATGGCGAACTCCTCCGTCGAAGGGATTTTGATCGGAAAACTTGAATTTGAATGTAGCGATTATTCCGGAGAAAGCGCACCACGAATCTGTCGGAGTTGGCGGCCGGAGGGTTTTTTTTATCGGGAAATAGAGGAGCACGTCTAATTCTAATTCAAAAATGTGAATTGAAAAAACAAATGCTGACTCACACCCCCTATAAAAAAAAATTGGTCAACCACCTCCTATAAAATTACACGAGGTAGTAACTTTTTTATGGAAATTTGAGCTATTAGGCCAATAAGAAGTGTATTAAAGTAGGAGTAGCAGTATAAAATTAGTTATTTAAGACAAAAATTCCTTATCAATAGAATTATATTTACCATAATGTTATAAATATATTATATTATGGATATTCATTTAGTACTCTATTGTAAATAAGCTTGTTCATATGGGACTTCGCCGTAAATATGTTTATCTATTTAGTACTCTATTGGAAATAAGTCTTCTGAAGAAGCCTATCACTTTGGTACCCGGTTATGGATAAATATTATTCCCGATAGAAGATTATTCATACCGGGTATAATAAGCTTATCCTTTCGGTACTCCATTATAGATAAACATTACTCCCGGTAAAAGATTATCCATACCGGGTATAATAAGCTTATCCTTTCGATACTCCGTTATGGATAAATATTATCCCTGGTAGAAGATTATCCATACCGGGTACAATGAGCTTATCCTTTCAGTACTCCGTTATGGATAAGCATTACCCCCACTAGAAGATTATTATACCTGGTACAATGAGCTTATCCTTTCAGTACTCCGTTATGGATAAACATTACTCTCAGTAGAAGATTATCTATAACTGGTACAATGAGTTTATCCTTTCAGTACTCCGTTATGGATAAACATTACTCTCGGTAGAAGATTCTCCATATCTGGTATAGTAGCAGCTTACACAACAACTTGCAGTAGCAGCTTCCTTTCTTCTATAAATAGAATAGATTTCAGTTCATTATGTACATTAGTTTGAATTTGAATAATATATCAATATCTCTCTATACTTGTCTTTACTTTACAGTCTTTATTTTATAATATGTTATCAGCACGAGACTCTGCCATCTCGAGCAAAAACTTTGAAAGTATTTGAGGTACGAACTTTCTTTTTCTATATAATGTCAAATCTTTCTAAACTTGAATTTGTAGCCCTTGATATAACGGGCAAAAGTTACATATCTTGGGTGTTTGATGCTGAAATTCATCTTGATGCGATGGATCTGGCAGACACCATTAAGGATAAAAATCTGGCATCAAACCAAGACGGTGCCAAAGCAATGATATTCCTACGCCATCAACTTGATGAAGGTCTGAAAATGGAATATCTCACTATTAAAGATTCAGTCATACTGTGAAATAATTTGAAAGATAGATATGACCTCCTGAAGATGGTCGTTCTTCCACAGGCACGATATGATTGAACTCATCTAAGGCTACAAGATTTTAAATCTATCAGTGAGTATAATTCTGCTATGTTCAGAATTATTTCCCAATTGAAATTATGTGGTGATAATATTACTGATCATGATATATTGGAGAAAACTTTCACCACTTTTCATGCCTCGAATATGCTACTGCAGTAGCAATATCGAGAGATGGGATTCAAAAAGTATTCTGAACTTATATCACATCTTCTTATAGCCGAGCAACATAATGGATTATTAATGAAAAATCATGAAAGCCGACCTACTGGTTCTTGTCCATTCCCTGAAGTGAATGAGATGAACTTACACCAAGCTAGACGTGGAAGAGTTCGTGGCCCCAGTTGTGGCCATAGCCGTGGTCGGGGAAGAAACTCTAATCATGGTAATAATAATGCACCAAAGAACCTTCCTCGCCACCAGCAGCGGAAAAGGAAGGAACAAAAGCATGAAGCGGTGCAAGCACCAAATGCAGAAAATGCATGCTTTAGATGTGGAGGAAAAGGGCACTGGTCACGTACCTGCCGTACGCCAAAGCACCTGGTTGAGCTTTATCAAGTCTCCCCGAAGAAGACAGAGAAAAATGTTGAAGCAAATGTTATTTCTGAAGATAATTTGACTTCATGCATTTGGATGTAGCTGATTTCCTTGCACTCCCAGAAGGAGAAACAAGTCATGTAATCGGTGGTGAATCTGTAGAAATGTAAATATTTTAATTTTTGTTATTTGTAATATATATTATGGTTATGTAATTGTTGTACATAAAGAAAAATTATGATTTGATAATGATGTTTACGATAATATATCTTGTTTATGTTATTTTGAAGAATATGGATAACATTATTAGATCAACTTAAACTCCAGCAGAGTTTGCAAGAAATATACAACCACCAGAAGTGGTTATATGTCGTATATCTCATTGTAATTATATTTTATTAACCACCAGAAGTGGTATATGCCTATGATCACCAGAAGTGATAATTTAGGCTTTCTATGGTTACAATTGAAGATAAGCTACATAAATATTCTCTATATTAAATGCACGCCTCGATTTGCTCCTGAAGTAGTAAATATTTTAAAAGAGGTTGAGGCATCACAATTTGATGTGATTAATGCGCATTCAGATAATTATGTTCGATTTCCTGAAGGATGAGAACTTTTGATAATATTAATCCATTCCCTGAAGTGAATGTGACAATATTAATAAATTTGGTAAATGTGAACGCGCTCTTGATGTGAATATATTATAATTCACCTCCAGAAGAGGTAATATAATTGAGAGAATATATACTCAATATTACGTATTTTAAATTTGCTCCTGAAGAAGTAACACAATTGAAATTGCCTCCTGAAGTGGAAAAATATTATGAAGAGGAGTTTTCGTGTGCTTAAACAATTGTTTTACATTGTTTATTTGATTGTGATTTTCTCTCATGACACCAGCAGTGTCTGAGCAATATTTGATAGTACAAAATGTATCAACAACTCCTGAAGAGCTANATTGTTTGTCTAGAAGACACTTGACACAAGTGTCACGACCCTAACCCCAAACCCGATCGTGATGGCGCCTCTCGTGAAGACAAGGCCAGCCAATTTACACAATTCACCTTTTTAAACAGTTAAATAACATAAAGATACTTCAAACATGATTCAATAGCAATATTTAGCGGAAATAGAGATAACAAAACGGAAACCCAACCCGACACAACCCTAACCGGGGTGTCACAAGTCACGAGCATTTATTAGAGTATAAATACAACTACAAGGTCTAAAATATACAAAAACAGGACTGATGAGCAAAAAGGGAGAGAAAACGGTGCTGCGAACGCTGGCAGCCACCTTGCTAAACTCCGATAACTCTGCCACCGATTAGCCAAAACCCACTACCGGGTGTATAAATACCTGCATCTGCACACAAGGTGCAGGGAGTAAAGTGAGTACTCCAACTCAGTGAGTAATAAAGGTAAATAACAACTGAGCAGTAAGAAATCACGTAAAGCAAACCAACATGTTGTATAGAAGCAGTGTAAAACCTTTGAGAAAAGCAATAAAGCTGTGAAATCTTTAGAAACATCTTAGCTCAATTTAAAACCCTCTTTCAAAAATGACTTTTTCAACAGTTACACAATGAATGTAAAACAGTTAGTGCCGATAAGCACAGAACATCCGCCCTCGGGCACAAATACCACAGTATAACAGGTAAAATGCCAAGTAAATATGAAATATGAACACATAAAGGTTTGCCCCTCGGGCAATCTCTCAGAACAGTACCAGCCCCTCGGGCTCACTCTCAGATCATGATGGGTACCCGCGCTCACTGTGGGTGTGCAGACTCCGGAGGGGCCCTTTACGGCCCAAGCGCTATATCAAGCCACCTCGTGGCATCATCTCTCGGCACTCGGCCTCACATCACTCAAGCCACCTTATGGCGTATAAAAAGTATCTCAAGCCCTCGGCCTCATATCACTCGACACTCAGCCTCACATCACTCAAGCCACCTTGTGGTGTATAAAAAGTATATCAGGCCCTCGGCCTCATATCACTCAGCATATCCTCACATATGGCCCTCGGCCTCACTTAGTCCGAAAATCATCACAAGCCCCTCGGGCATTAGTAAAACAGTAGTTCTCAGCCCAAAACATCATTTAGAAATATCATTTAAGTTTCAAATATGAGTAACAGTGGCTGAGTTTGTAAAACAGTAAATATCAACAGGACTGAGTTCAAGTAATAAGTCAAAACAGTGAGAAAATAGTAATAAAAATTCCCGGAGGGTTCAAATAGTTAGCACGAAGCCCAAGTATGGCAATCAACCCAAATCATGATGCTAGCAAATAGGTTTCAGTCAAATACGTAGTAAAATCATCAATCGGGACGGACCAAGTCACAATCCTCAATAGTAAACAACCCCACGCTCATTATCAGCGCGTGTCTCACCTCAATATAGCACTACGATGTGCAATCCGGGGTTTCAAACCCTTAGAGTATCATTTACAATCATTACTCACCTCGAACCAGCTACAACTCTAGCCCGCGACGCCTTTGCCCCTCGAATTGGCCTCCACGCACGTCGAATCTATTCAAAATCAGAACGAATACATCACAATATGCTAAGGGAGCAAAGCCCAAGCGAAAACAATCGAAAAATATCAAAAATCCCGAAATTAGCAGAACCCGAGTCCTGGGACCACTTCTCGAAACTCAGAAATTTTCACATCATTAGATTCCTTATCACCCCACGAGTTCATACATATCAAAAGTTCCCAAATCCAACCAAAAATGGTCCTCCAAATCCCCAATCAAAGATTCAAAATCCCAAGCCCTAGTTCTTCCATTTTTAGCTTAAGTTCCATGATTTTCTAGGTAGATTTTATAATAGATTCGAGTTTTAGGTTCGAAAATCTTACCTCCAAACATTTCTCCATAAATCCCTCTTCGATTTCTTTCAAAAAGCTTTCAAAAGGACCAACTATGGAGGAAAAATGACCCAAAATCGCGGATGAAATAACTTAAAACATTCTGCCCAGGGGTTTTCGCATCTGCAACCCCACCACCGCTCCCACGGTATCGCTTCTGCGGTCTTTTTCTCTACATCTGCGGAATCCACTTGACGAGCCAAAACCGCATCTGCAGGTCCGCAGGTGCGGTTCCTATTCCGCATCTGCGGTTTCTGACCTCTCTCCTCAAATCCGCATCTGCGGAAATTCCTTCGCACATGCGATGGCGCACCTGCGGTCCCCAAATCGCAGGTGCGGAAATACGAGAAGCAGCAATCTTCTGAAATCTCTTAAGTCCAAAATCTTCCCGTTAACCATCTGAAGTCACCCCGAGACCCCCGGGACCTCAACCAAAAGCACCAACATGACCCAATACCTTATTCAAACTTGTTTCAATCATCAAAGCACCTCAAACAACATAAAATTACTCAAAACACATCGGATTCAAGCCTATTTTTTGAGAAATCTTTCGAAATACATTTTCGATCAAAAACCCAACCAAAACATATCCGAATGACCTGAAATTTTGCACACACATTCCAAATGACATAAAGAAGCTACTGCAACTCTCAGAATTCCATTCTAACCCCCAGATCAAAGTCTCGCCTATCAACCGGAAATCACCAAAATATCAACTTCGCCAATTCAAGCCTAATTCTACTCCGGACCTCCAAAACCCATTCCGATCACACTACTAAGTCACATAAATCACCTCCTGAAGCTAACCGAACCATCGAAACTCACATCCGAGCCCTCTAACATAATAGTCAACATCCGGTTGGCTTTTTCCAATCAAACCTTCTTAAAAGAGACTAAGTATCTCATTCCTTACCAAATCCTCTCGGAACACAAACTAATCAACTTGATCACATAAAACACGGATAACAGAGCATAAAGAAGCAGAAATGGGGAAAAATATAGCGGTAACTCATGAGATAACTGGTCGGGTCGTCACAACAAGAAGTGTCTGATAAATATTAGATTATGGATAATAAATGAAGGCTCTTGAAGAGTTTATATAAAAATATGTCACTCATATTATATGATTATGATCAAAACATATATTGTAGTAAACCTGAAGTTTACTAATACAAGTGGCTATCATATTGATACTACAAATGATTGGAAGGTTGAAAATCTTTATGTTTCCACAATCATAGGGGGTAAAATAATATGTATGTGAGAAGTTACCCGCCTTATTCTTCAATTTGTACTACATCATATATCATAGTAAATCAGAAGTTTACTAATGCAAAAGTTTATGTCATAGTAAACTAGAAGTTTACTAAGAGATAGCGCGTGCCATGATAAACTTGAAGTTTTCATTTGCCATTTTTAAATGAGCTATTTGAGAATTCTGATAAGCATATACTGAATAACCAGAAGATTCTTCAAAAATTCTCTTGTGCTGCTTGTTTTCATAATATTATACCGGCTAAAGTTGGGACTAAGACCCCTGAATTCTAAAATATATAAAAGATGAATATGGGCCCTTTCACCTACCATGTGAACCACTTATAGATGCATATATAAGATGGTTACATGTATGCTTATTGTCAACCTGCATTTTGGCATTTGAGATTGTTTTTCTCAATTAAGAGCATAACTTTCAGATTATGAAATCAAGATAGTTTATCTTGATAATGTTGGTTTATATCCAAGCTGGTTTAGCATTGAATACCTCCTACTAATGGCTAAACTATTACTTATGAGAATAAAGTTTCATGTGTTGGTCTAAGATATTCTAAATTGCATACAACAACACTTGTATGCATCAGACCAACAATATATGATAAATTCATCCCCTCATAATTGGTTTAGGATCAGAAATCAAATATTTTTACTATCTTTTGATATGTGGTATATGATTAATTTCTCTACCACAATACACAAAGATATGTTTCCCAAAGAAGATTGGGGATATATGTTAGTTTTTCTAACATTTGGGGGGATAGAATAAATAGCTGAAAAATATGCTATATGAATCGAATTATCATTAATATGATCCTTACTTAGAAGATAATTCAAGTCGAATGCCAGAAATATTTTCTGATCCAAAATTTAATATCATATTTCAGCTGCAAATGCTTCTATTAAAATTAAAGTCCCTGAAGGATAAAGTTTACTACACGCATAAAGCGTAGTAAATCGATCGGTTCCAAAGGTAACAATCCTTGAAAAATAATAGGAGCAAATGATCATAATGAGGAGGAAATGAGCTTTAGAAGAGCCCACGACATAACATTTCATGAAACTCTAGAAGAAGTTCAGGTACCTGAAAATAAAGAAAGTGATGAGATCTCAACAAGTTATGTCGCTTAGGAACTGATACAAAATGATTGTCGATGATATATTTGATACAATATAGTGCACAATATTGTAAAAGATTGTGAGGATCGGACCAGCAGTCCAGACACTTGAAGATGTCATACCATTTAGATACAAGTCTTAACCTTTATGACTTATTTGATTAAATCTATATGAAGATCCTTAAAGGATTGAAAATGCCTGAAGCATATAATTCAAAGTCTTGAGAAATGTACTCGATCAAATTATAAAGATCTTTGTACGGTTTAAAGAAATCGGTGCACGTGTGGTATAATCGCCTTAGTAAATATTTGCTGAAAGAAGATTACATAAATGATGTTATTTGTCCATGTAATTTTATAAAGAAAATGTCATCAGAATTTGTTATACTTGTTATTTATGGTGATGACATAAAATTTGTTGGAACTCCAAAAGAGCTCCAAAAGGCAATTGAATATCTTAAGAAAGAATTTGTGATAAAAGATCTTGGAAAAATAAAAATTTGTCTTTGGTCTGCAAATTGAATATTTAGTAGACTAGATCTTTATTCATCAATTTGTCTATACAGAAATGGTCTTTAAACTCTTTTTCATGGACAAGCGCACCCATTAAGTACATCAATGGGTGTTCGATCACTTGAAGTGAATAAGAATCCGTTCTGACCTCCAGAAGAGGATGATGAACTCCTTGGTCCTGAAATACTCTATCTCAGTGTAATTGTTATGCATTTATAGGTGGTGCAGATCGTATTGGTTATGCAGATACAAGATTAGAATGCGGAGACTCAAATATTTGAAACAAGGTTTTCATCAGGGGGAATAAAATACGTGATGCACTCTTTTTCCTTACTAAGGTTTTTTCCCACAGGGTTTTCCTTATACGGTTTTTAATGAGGCACCTAGCAATGCGTATTACTAAATATGTGTACTCTTTTTCCTTCACTAGAATTTTTTTCCCACGTGATTTTTTCTAGTAAGGTTTTAATGAGGCACATTATCTTTTAATGAACATCCAAGGGGGAGTGTTATAAATATATTATATTATGGATGTTCATTTAGTACTCCGTTGTAAATAAGCTTCCTGAAGAAGCTTATCCATATGGGACTTCGCCGTAAATATGTTTATCTATTTAGTACTCTATTGAAAATAAGCCTCCCGAAGAAGCTTATCATTTCGGTATCCGGTTATGGATAAATATTAGTCCCGGTAAAAGATTATCCATACCGGGTATAATAAGCTTATCCTTTCGATACTCCGTTATGGATAAACATTATTCCCGGTAGAAGATTATTCATACCGGGTATAATAAGCTTATCCTTTCGATACTCCGTTATGGATAAACATTATTCCCGGTAGAAGATTATTCATACCGGGTATAATAAGCTTATCCTTTCGATACTCTGTTATGGATAAACATTACCCCAGTAGAAGATTATCCATACCGGGTACAATGAGCTTATCCTTTCAATACTCCGTTATGGATTAACATTAACCCAACTAGAAGATTATCTATACCTGGTACAATGAGCTCATTCTTTCAGTACTCCGTTATAGATAAACATTACCCCCAGTAAAAGATTATCTATAACTAGTACAATGAGTTTACCCTTTCAGTACTCCGTTATGGATAAACATTACTCTCGGTAGAAGATTATCCATATCTGGTATAGTAGCAGCTTACACAACAACTTGCTGTAGCAACTTACACTGCAGCTTCCTTTCTTCTATAAATAAAAGAGATTTCAGTTCATTATGTACATCAGTTTGAATTCGAATAATATATCAGTTTCTCTCTATACTTGTCTTTACTTTACAATCTTTATTTTATAACACAAATTATATATCACTAATTCAACTCATATATCTCTCAATCATAAATACAAGCTTTCCTCCTCTTTCTTTTTTCTATTTAATTATATTATAATGATTAAAAATCTTCATATATATATTTTATATTATATTTTAGATTTTAGCTAGTATATAGAAATAAAAACTTAATTAAAGCCTTTCACAAAAGATATTTTAAATTACTTCTCTATTTATGTAATAGTACTAATTATAAAATAAATCTTAATATAAATTTTTTTGTAATTTAATACTCAAAAATCTTTTTTGGAAAGTCAAATACTAAAAACTACACCTCAAACTACACATTGCTACATTAGTGAATTATTTAGCCAAAAAGTGCACATTTTGTTTTAGTAAAACATTCATCTAGAGAAATGTAGTTTATTGACCTAGAAAAAGCGTATGACAAAGTTCCTAGAGAAGTTCTCTGGAGAAGCTTGAAGGCAAAAGGCGTGTCGGTTTCCTACATTATGGCAATTAAGTACATGTATGATGGGGCAAAGACTTGGGTTAGGACAGTTGGAGGCGACTCTGACGATTTTTCGGTTGTTATGGGGTTACACCAAGGTTCTGCGCTCAATCCTTTCCTATTCGCCCTGGTGATGGATGCGCTAACATATCACATTCAAGAGGATGTGCCATGGTGCATGCTATTCACCGATGACATAGTTCTTATTGATGAGTCACGAACCGATGTTAACGAGAGGCTGGAGGTTTGGATACAAGCTCTTGAATCTAAGGGTTTCAAGCTTAGCAGGACAAAGACGAAATACTTGGAGTGTAAGTTCAACGCTGAGCAGAGGGAAGTGGGCGTGAATGTGAGGCTTGAATCACAGGTCATTCCGAGTAGAAACAGCTTCAAGTACCTTTGGTCAGTTATCCAAGGGGGAGGGGAGATCGACGAGGATGTTACACACCGTATTGGGGTAATATGGATGAAGTGGAGGTTATCATCTGGAGTATTGTGTGACAAAAGAGTGCCACTAACACTCAAAGGTAAGTTCTATAAAGCGGTGGTTAGGTCGGCCATGATGTATGGGACTGAGTGTTGGCCGGTTAAGAAATCACATATCTAGAAGATGAAGGTAGCAGAAATGAGGATGTTGAGGTGGATGTGCGAGCATAGGAGGATGAATAAGATTAGGAATGATGATATTCGGGAGAAGGTGTGCGTGGCTCCCATTGATGAAAGATGCGGGAAGCAAGGCTCAGGTGGTTCGGGCACGTTCAGAGGAGAAGCCCAGATGCTCCGGTAAGGAGGTGCGAACGGCTGGTTGTGGAGGGCTCGAGAAGAGGTAGAGGGCGGCCTAAGAAGTATTGGGGGGAGGTGATTAGGCAGGATATGGCGATGCTTCAGATTTTCGAGGACATGACATTTGATAAGAACATGTGGAGGTCGAGTATTAGGGTTGTAGGCTAGGAGGTAGTTGAGTATTGTCTTATGTCATAACTTTGTGAGTCTAGTTTGGTAAGGATACTATTTTGCTTTTGCTTTGTATCATTCCTCGTGATTTCATGTTGTTTTTATTTTTCATATATATATTCCTTTCATATTATTTTTGTAGTGTTACTAATATTGTCTTCTTTTGTCCTTTTGTCTTCTTGAGCCGAGGGTCTTTTGGAAACAACCTCTCTGCTCCTTCAGGGTAGGGGTAAGGTCTGCGTACACACTACCCTCCCCAGACCCCACTAGTGGGGTTTCACTGGGTGGTTGTTGTTGTTGTTGTTATTCATCTATGTACATTGGACAAGGGCTTTGCTGCGCTCAGGGACGGACCTATGCTAGGGGTTAGGGGTCACGGTGAATCCGTTGACCTCGGCAAAAATATTGTATATATATATATTATATATATTTGTTAATATATGGAGGACCCCTTTAGATATTTTATGCAGCCCCCTAAGTCACAAAGGCTGAATAGAGGAGTTGGTTTGTGGAATTGCTCAACAGCCTTCTGTTGAATGACAATCCAGGTTCGAATTTGAGGTCTTACGGTCCATGTTATTTTATTTTACTTTTAAAATTGAATGATTATTTAATTACTTAGTATTCAACTGAATTATTTTTTTATATTATCTTTTTTTATTTCAGTTATAGTTTAATACTTTTATATAATAGTCAATTTAATACTTAATTAGCTTAATATTTTTTAACCTACTTAGTATTTAACTGAATTATTATTTTTTATTTCAGTTATAGTTTAATACTTTTATATAATAGTCAACTTAATACTTAATTAGCTTAATATTTTTTAACCCTCTCAAAGATCTAACTCCAACAGAGAACAATTAAACAAAAGCTCTTTTTTCTCCAAGAAACAAATCTTCTCTGCCTCCCTTCAACTTCAACTTTCCTTTCAGTTCTTCACTTCCTTGCATCCCTTTGAACTTCGAATCCCACAGTTCTATTAGGTGAGGGAGACTCTTCTTCAAATCTTTGATTATTTGAGTAAGTTTTTCTTCTTTTTACAAATATTGATTTTTTGATTTTTGTGATTTTTGACCTAGATTAGCAGTTGACCTAGATTGATTATGACTTATGAACAGATTATGTTCATCCCCATTTAAAATATCCTTTTTTACTAACACCATCAAATGCAAATCCAATTAGTAGCACTTAAGTTGAATAAATAATTGATGAGTAAAGTGCTCCTGTAAATTCCTCTTTTTATTACCTTAATTTTCTGGAGTTCTTTACTATAGTAGATAATGCTTGCAAGAAACCAAATTGTATTTGAATTTCAAGGATACTTCTTTCAGTTTTTGAATTCGCTACTGTTCTTTTAATTTTTGAATTTATTGTTTGAGCAGACAACAATCATGGTGCATATTTACATGATGTTAAATCTTTAGAGGATGTGCTAATTCTTTTATCTTAATAAATTAATTTCATAGGTTTTTAAGATTTTGTGCTAATGCTATTTGAAATATTGTTTCAGTAAAGTGGATGGCTTGAAACCAAGCTATATTTAGATTTCAAGGATACCTTTCACAAATTGGTAAGTGTTCCTTCTATCTTTAAGATAATAATAATATAGTTATGACTTATAATAAAATATAGGGGTGTGATTCCCCTATTAGAAATATTATATTTGCTTTTGTTCGTGATAGAGGGGGTATGAGTCCCCTATTAGAATTTTTTTTTTTGCTTTAATCTTGATGGAAGGGGTGTAATTTGCTTTGTTCTTGATGGAAGGGGCATGATTCCACTATTAGAAATATTCTCTTTGCTTTGTTCTTGATATAAGGGGTATGATTCCTCTATTATATGTTATTTCTATTCTAGTATTAATATAAGGAGTATGATTAATCATATTAAAACTGTTATTTTGCTTGGCATTGTTGCTTTGTAGGAAGTTTTATTGATGTGAATTGAGATGGACATATTTTTTACGAGGTTTAATTTTTCTCAACCAAGTTCTAATTTTAGAGACAATTCCTCCCATCTTGTAGAGGAGTTTGATGTGAAATCACTTAATCCTCACCCGGAGAGAGAAACTCATTGATAGATATAGCTCCGGAATATGGGATGAAGTGAGAAGACACCACATCCAAAGAGGGCCTTGCCAACAAGTTGATCACAAATTTCTTAAAACTTTATTTGGGAAGAAAATGCCAATTTAGTCCGGGTTGATTTAAAGATTCGCATTCTAGATAGTTAGAGTATAGTTTGAAGAAAGATCCACATTTTGTTTATGTTGTTATATATTCAAAAATGATTACGTTTATGGAATCACGGGTGACTCTTTCACAAAAATCGGCTTTAAAGCTTGGAATAAAGGACCCGAAAGACTTGATTTACATGTTGGTGAAGTAAATAGCCTCCACCATAAGTGTTTCAATAAAATGCTAGACTTGTCAAATCAATCTCAATCAATTCAAGTTGCTTTTGAAAAGCAATCTGAGAAACAAAAAAGTGAATATCGAATTCGTTTAAATGCCTCGATCGATGTTGCAAGGTTTCTCTTGGACTTTGAATTGTCTTTTCGAAGCCACGATAAAAGTGAATCTTTAAAAAAGAAGGCCTTTTTTCTAGGGCTTTTGGAATGGCTTGAAAATAGGCTTCCATCTTTAGATAGAGTTATATTAAAACATGCTCTAAAAAATGATATGATGGCTTCGCCAGAAATTCAAAAGAATATTGTGAGTGCTTGTGCACAAGAGACCATGAAAGCTATAATTGATGACATGGATGGAGATTATTTTAAGATATTAGTTGATGAGTCCAAGAATATTTCACACCATGAACAAATGGTCCTTGCTTTGCGGTATGTTGAAAAAAAATGCCAAGTGAACGAGCCATTTATTGGTCTTGTTCGTGTTAGTGATACATCTGCAAAGTCGTTGAAAGAAGCAATACTTTCTTTGCTAGTGAAACACTAATTAAGTCCATTCAAAATACGTGGACACGGCTATGATGGGGCTAGTAATATGCAGGGAAAGATGAATGGTCTTAAAACTTTAATTTTGCAAGAAATTCCATCGGCATATTCCGTTCATTGTTTTGCTCATCAATTACAGTTGACGCGTGTAGCTGTTACTAAAAAACACAGGGAGGTGGAGACTTGCTTTGCTATTGTTACTAAATGTGATTGGAGTTTCTTTTAGGCATAGAGATCTAACTTCGGGAACATCAAGCAGAATTATTTGAGCAATTGCTAATGAGTGGTGAAGTTCAAAGTTGGAAAGGATTAAATCAAGAGCGAGGGCTTCAAAGGCCAGGTGACACTCGTTGGGAATCACATTATAAAATATTGGATAACTTTGTTATTTTATTTTCTTCTATTATTCATGTACTTGGGGTAATTGAATGTGAATGTGATGTTAATGATAGGTTGCAAGCAGAAGGTAAAATTAAAGCATTTGAATTTATTTTCTTACTTCACTTAATGTTGAAAGTGTTGATAATGTCAAACGAGTTGAGCAAAGCTTTACAGAAGAAAGAGCAAGATATTGTTAATGCCATGATATTTCTTGATATCACAAACGAAAGGATGCAAGAAATAAGAGATGAAAGATGGGAAACATTGATGGATGAAGTATCTTCATTTTGTGCAAAACATGATATTTTGGTGCACAAGATGGAAGAATTCTATATTCCTGGAAAGTCGAAGCGTAGGCTTTCTAGTGTTACTTATTCACATTACTTACGTGTTGAGCTTTTTTATGCAGTGATTAATTTTCCACTTCTGGAGTTTAATAGTCGTTTTGATGTTGTGAGTAGTAACTTGCTTCTTGGTATGGCTAGCTTGAATCCGGCTAACTCATTTGCTAATTTTGATAAGGAAAGAATAATGACATTGGTCAAGCATTATCCCGATGAGTTTGGTGAATTGAAGCTTTGAGGTCTTAGTCACTAACTTGATACTTTCATATGGCACATGCAACATGGTAACACTAGGTACTCTGATTTAAAAGGAATTGGTGATTTAGCAAAAATATTGGTTGAGGAAAATCTTGTGGAGACTTATTCACTTGTTTATTTGCTTGTAAAGTTGACTTTAATTTTACCTGTCGCAACTGTAACGGTAGAAAGAGCATTCTCATCCATGAAATACATCAAAGATGAATTGCGTAGTAGTATTAGTGATGCATTTTAAATGATTGTTTAGTTTATTACTCTGAGAAAGAAGTATTTGTAAATATAACCAATAATGCTATTATTGACCGTTTTTAAAATATGAAAGCGCGTCGAGTTCAACTATGAGTGGACAATGTACTTTTGTTATATTAGTATCAAGTTAATGGTATTTGATAATATTAATATTTTTATTTTGATGATAAATTATCATAGTCATTTCAAAGAGTTGCCCCCGAACTTTATCGTTGGTGATTGGCATACTAAAGACAATGATACCCCCGTTATACTAAAATCTTGGATCCGCCTTTGGCTGCACGAGTAGAATAGTAACTATTCTACGCAAGTTTAGGTAACTTCTCACATTAATTTTACTCCTACAATTACTATTTGATAAGATTATGTAAATTTTGGCATTAACATTTAAAAATAAAATATTACTCCTAAATACCTTTTGAGTTTGAAGAAAATACCTACTTCGCTAATATGCTTATCTTTTCTACCATGAGTCTAAGTGATGTTGATGCATGGAGTGTGTAAATTTTTGTACAATTTCTGTCTATGTTAACATATGACAAAAGGTTTAAAAAATAAAGTGTTAGACCAAAAAGTAGAACTTTCGATTAAACCTTTATATTTATCAAATGATGGGTTAAACCTAGTTAATAATAATATTCCTAAATGTGGATCTTGAAAATACGGATAATGTGGGTCGATTTAGTGTGGGTCTAATAATATCATACATTCAATATTGGAAAAATATATAAGTTGCATCGTGTACTTATCCCCAAAAGTCAGTTTCAGACTCAACCTTTACGGGCGTTCTAATACCATCCTATCCGTGTCCAAAGACAAATTTATTTACCTCCTAAAATGTAACAACCAAATTCTACCCACACGGTGTTTACACGTGTTGACACGTGGTATTTTCACAATTTTTTATTTTTTTTCTTTTACTGACATAATCCTCCCCTCTCCGGGCCTTCCCCGTCCCCCTCCCACTCTAACCTTTCTTTTTCTCTTTCTTTCTCCCATCATTAATTTCTCCTTTTTCAAAGAAAATTTTTCAGCTCGTCTTTTTCCGGATTATGGTGAACGCACAGAGATTGTGAACAAACATTAACAAGTATTATCAACTTTTACTCATATATTGCCAAAATTTCAATGGCAAATTATGTTGCCTGCAATGGAGCTATAAATTTTGGTCTCTTTATAAACCTTTGTTACAAATCTATTTTTAGCTATTTGGTGATAGAAAAATCACTTTCGCTTCTAGATCTACAAGCACCCAATATTTTATCTCTTTACTAAATAAAAATAAATTTAAGAGAAATTGAAAAGATTTAATGAATTTGTTTCAGAAAGGTTTCGTTTTTTTCGTAGCTGAAAAAATTATTTTATGTAATTGTTCATTACCAAAACATATGGTTTATCCTAATGAAGCACTAGCTATAATCATTGAAGATGATTTTTCAGTGAGGGTTCTATTAGGTCAATAAATAAGCTATTTTGGTAATGGCTCTTTTACAATGGTGGGATCGGTGTTTATATGGTGGCAGCAATGAGTGTTTAATGTTTATACGGTGGTAGCGATGGCTATTTGTATGGTGGTGTTCTCTGCGGAAATAGAGGAAATGGAAATAAGAAAAGGAAAGAGAAAAAGAGAAGAGAAGAAAATGGGAAAAATAAAAAAAAGAAAAGGAAAGAAATTTAAAAGGGTTAGTATTACATTTAATACAACTAATTAAGTGTAATTAAATGTAACAACCAATAAAGAAATGACATCTGTATAATTTAAGTAGCTTTTAATATTTTTTCATCTTCCCACACGTTTTGAGTGACGTAAACTAGGGGTGGACGTTCGGTATTTCGGTTCGGTACGTAAGAATTTCGGTTCAGTATTTCGGTATTCGGTTTATCAATTGTGTATACCAAATACCGTATCAAAATATTTCGGTACGGTGTGGTATTTACTATTTTGGTTCGGTACGGTTTCGGTACGATTTCGGTTTAACAATCAATGAATATTGAATAATCAATGCTAAATGCTAACGCCTAACAGTGCACAACTGCACATGCAGTCATGCACAATTGGAACTTGGAAGAGGAATCACAAATGCAGTTTTTTCAGTCAATGTTTGCACTTTGCACAACTGCACAATGTGCACAAGTTTGAAAACACTGAAAAGCCTGCACAGTGCACACTGAAAAGTGAAAACACTGAAAAATTTGCACAAATGCAGTGTTTGAAAACACTGAAAAGCCTGCACAGTGCACAGTCTGCAGATGCTAAACACATTAACCCAGTGCAATAAAAACAGTCCAACAAATGCAGTGTTTGCACAATCGAAATTCTAAAGTGTTTGCACTTTGCACAATGTGCACAACTGCACATGGCTCATGGCTGAAAGCCTGAAACAAGAAAGCATATCATTCTGCAAACAACAAATTCACAATCTGGCAAGTGCAGATGCAAACTTGCACGCCAGATCTGGCAATCAACTTAATAGTTAACACTTAAAACTGACAGTGCAGTAAAAAGTTAAAAACACAGTCCAAACTTAAACTCATGGTAGCTGAACACTTAAAACTGTTAAACAGTTAAACTGCAGAAAGAATAGGCACAACTGCAGTCTGCAGATGCTAAACTGCAGTCCAAACTGCAGTCTGCAGACAACAAACTTGCGAACTTCTCCGTTATCTTCTTTCACCACAAAGTATTCCCAAATATCGGAGCGTTGAGCAGTAGCACAAGGCATGATTGCACTTGAACTTGAACCTAAAAAAAAATATAAATCATATGTTAGAATATTATAGTTTGATGATAATAAAAC